AGAACATAAGACATTTCTAAAATAGCCTTTCGAACTAGATACGGACACTATGAGTTCCTAGTCATGCTATTTGGACTAACCAACGCTTCAGCCATCTTTATGGACTTGATGAACAAGATTTTTAGACGATTCTTAGATCAATTTGTCATTGTATTCATTGATGATATCCTATTTTATTCAAAAAGTAAAGAGGAACAAGCTCACCATCTGACTCAGATTTTACAGGTTCTTAGAGAGAAAAAGTTGTATGCGAAGTTAAGTAAGTGTGGGTTCTGCCTTGAGCAGACTACTTTCCTATGACACATCATACCAAAGGATGGAGTGTCAGTAAACCCCAAAAAAATTGAAGAAGTGCTCGGATGGAAAAAATTGACTTTGGTTAAGGAGATCCGTAGCTTTCTGGGGATAACAGGTTATTACCACAGGTTTGTTAAAGGGTTTTCTAGTCTAGCTGCTCATCTGAGTAAGCTCACAAAGAAGAATGTCAAGTTTGAGTGAAATGAGAACTGTGAAAGAAGTTTTTCAGAATTAAAGAAATGGTTGACTACCGCACCGGTGTTGGCATTGTTGAGCGGATCAGGTGGATATACAGTTTACAGTGATCCCTCCTACCTAGGGTTGGGTTGTGTTTTGATACAGCATGAGAAGGTCATAACCTATGGGTTCAAACAGTTGAAGAGTCATGAGAAAAACTACATCACCCATGACTTAAAACTTGTTGCAATCATTCACACCTTGAAAACTTGGCCTCATTACTTGTATGGGAAAACCTTTCAGATCTATACCGATCATAAGAGCTTGAAACATATATTCACTCAAAATGATCTCAACATGCGTCAGAAGAGGTGGATAGAACTTCTCAAGGACTATGATTGCGATATCTTGTATCACCCAGGTAAGGGTAACGTGGTAGCCGACACACTCAGTAGAAAAAGTGCAAGTACATTAGCTCATTTGATGGTTTCAGAATGCAGGCAGATAGAGGTCGCACAATAGGTACAGCTTCAGGACCTGAAGAGAGTCACATGTTTGGGCTACTTAACTATTCAACCTGAGTTAATCCAAAGAATAAAGGAAGCTCAGTCCGCCGATTTCACCCTAGCAGCCCTCAAGAAAGATGCAGAATAGAGAATTAATTCAGAATTCTGAGTCTCTGCCGATGGGTTGCTCAGATTCCAAAACAGAATGTGTGTTACAGGTGACAGTGAGTTGAAAAGAGACATTATGATAGAGGCCCATAGCTCTAAGTTTGTCTTGCATCCCGGAAGTACTAAAATGTATCAAAGTATGCAACCCCAATTTTGGTAAAACGGGATGAAAAGAGATGTAACTGACTTTGTTTTAAATGTTTGGTATGTCAACAGGTCAAGATAGAGCATCAACGCCCAGCTACTTTAACCATTACCGATTCTAGAATGGAAGTGGAAATATATCACCATGGATTTCGTGACAGGATTGCCTAGAGTACGCTCAGGACATGATGCCATCTGGTTAATTATTGACTGATTTACCAAGTCTTCCCACTTATTGACCATCAGGATAATCGATCCATTGAATAAGTTAGTAAGAATGTATATTCGGAAGATAGTCAGATTACATGGAGTGCTAGTAACAGTAGTGTCCGACAGGGACTCCAGGTTCACTTCTTGATTTTGGTCTAGCTTTCAGCAAGTCATGGGAATGAAACTGTCCCTTAGTATTGTATTTCACAATCAGATCAATGAACAGTTAGAGGACGATCAGCACACTTAAGGATATGCTCCAAGCTTGTGTTCTTGACTTCGGGGGCCATTGGGATGATCATCTACCCCTGATAGAGTTCGCTACAATAACAGCCACCAAACCAGTATTGGCATGGCTCCGTATGAGGCATTGTATGGCCGCCCATGCAGATCACCGATATGTTAGGAAGAAGTGAGTGATAGAAAACTGTTCGACCCATATTTCATAGTGAAAACTAAAACAAAAATAGTTAAGATCAGGAAGAGTATTTAGACGGTTCAGAGCAGACAGAAGAGTTATGCGGACACCCGGATGAGGGATTTGGAATTTAAAAAAGGCGATCGAGTATTCTTTGAGGTCACTCCTTTCAAGGAAATCAGTAGGTTTGACAAGAGGGAAAAACTAAATCCCCGGTTTATTAGGCCATTTAAAATCTTAGACTGAATTGGATTCGCCGCCTACAGACTAACATTACCTTCAGAACTTTTCAGGGTCCATAATGTGTTTCATGTGTCTATGCTATGCAAGTACAACCCGAACTCCTCTCAAGTCTTGGCCCACGAGACTCTTTCACTCCAGGAGGATATGTCATACGAGGAAGTACTGGTCGGTATTGTGGACCGAAAGAGCAAATTACTCCACAACCAAAAAATTTCTTTTGTCAAGGTCATATGGCAGAATCACACACCGAGAGAGGCCATATGGGAGCTAGAATCAGACTTCAGAGCCCAATATCCCCAGTTGTTTGATTGAGAGTGAGAGATACAAACTTGAGAGACCAAATTTCTTTTAAGGGGGAGAGTTGTAATGCCCAAATTTAATTTAATAAAAATTAAATTAATTTATAATTGTAATTTTTTTTTAATTTTTTAATTTTAATTTAGTGTAAAAATGAAAAAAAATTTGATGGATGATGAAATTAGAAATAATTTTGGGAAAAATAGATAAAAATTTGGGTTCTATGAATATTTTTGAAAAAAAATTAGAAACTGGGAGTCAAAATACAATTTAAAAAAGTTATGCCACGTAGAATGCCCAATCAGCAGCCCCGATAAACCAGAACGCAACGCGTGGCAACGGACGCTGACGCAGTACCACGTGGGCGATCCACGCGCCCGCGATCAAACGACCCAGATCCGTTCCCGCACGCACCAATAGTCCGGATGCGTTTTCTCCCTAAACGCGATCGGACGATCAGATTTAAATGTGATCAACAATCGCAATGAACGGTTTAGATTCACTCCCTATTTAATCGCAATTAGATGGTACATATCAAACATGATAGACGTCCTAGATTAAATGGGGACCGATATAAATAACCCTGACAGACCCCCTCGCCAGAGAAGAAGACCCAGCCACTGTGAAGGAAGCCGCTGCCACCCACCACCGCACCGGAGCTCTTTCAGGCCACCAAAAGAGGTTAAAAAAATTTGTTTGCTCGGAATTCAATTTTAAATACCCCCATGGCCAAATCGGAGTAAGAGGACTGACAGATTGGCCGAAAATCACGGGCAAAACTCGGTGCCGCCGCTGCGAAAAATTGAAAAAAACTTCCTCCAATGAGGCCCTTTCCGATTCCCGTTCGGCGTAATTTTTCTACCATTTTGATTACGTTTTCTTCTCTACATGTTAATCGGAGCAAAACACCAAACTACAAAGTGAGTCGGCGGAGCCGTCGCACCGGAAAGCTCCACCGCCGGTGAATTTTGATTTTTCATTTTTTTCTGGCTAAACGAGACTCCTTAACGCGTTTTCTTGCAAGGATTGATTCAAAACTGGCCAAAAATAGCCAACCCGAGGCGAATCGTCACCACCGTGCCGGAATTCCAAAATTGGCCAAAAAGGGATCCTGACACTGTTTTTGAATTTTTTGGGATATTTGTAAGTATTTATAGCGCGTTTTAATTCCCGAAGAAAAATTCAAGGAACCTAGGGACTGCCAGTAGGTGCAGTCAACAGCTTAACTTTTCGGGTATTAAATTGAGTGAGAATCTCTCACTCTATTCCTTGTTACAAAATTAAAGTCTAATTAACGATAATACAGTATTTTATACAATTTAGAAAATATCCATAATTAATTACGGATTACTAATGGAGTCAGAACCGAAAATTATTTATTGTTGATTTTGTTTATTGATTTTACAGTTTGAATGGATGATAGTATATGATTGATTGATTTTATAGCTTTGAATGCATGGATTGTTTGTTTTGTATGGTTACGATTGAATTGAAAAACTAGAGGTTAAAGGTAAACAGAAATTGTGTGATTAAGTGAATGGATGAAACGACAGCCTTACTGGATATCTTGAAAGATGGTGGACGGACCAGGTTCATTGGAAACCCTACCTGACGGGGTGTCGAGACTTGATAATTTGACACTCATACCAGACGGGGTATGGGAACGACCTGTTTCACCCTCATACCGGACGGAGTATTGAGGTTTAGTAATTTGGTGCCCATATCAGACGGGTTATGAGGACGATCTGTTAATTGAGAATGTCCAGCAGGCTGATGAAAAGGGACAATTGTTGTTTTGATTAATTAAACATGGAATTATAATATGTGCATGTTATCGATTGAATATGAAATCATGATAAGTGTTATGCTATTGTCTCTATACGTTATTTTTATAAATCTCGTTACGTTAAGTGGACAGTAAATGATTTATTATTGATAAATGAATTTGTTTAATTAAGTGCTCAATTAATTATTTTTTATTTTTTTACCAACTTTTATTTCTGTGTCGGTGAGTAGCGTGATATTTTTATTGGGCTAATGTAGTTCATTTCTTATTTAACCATTTCAGATCAAAGAGATCAGGATCCGGAATCTAATCCACAAGAGAGTTGTGAATAAGATACCAATTTTATTTTATTTTATTATTTATTTATTTTTATAATTTTTTATATTTCATTCAAAAGGGTAATCATAACTAGTTATTTCGTTTCCACACTTAAGTTATTATTTATTTTCTTTGAATTTTCGGAGTCGTTACAATATTTTTTATTTCATTTAAATATGAATTTTTGCAAATAAATTGTACAATAATCTAAATATAACATAAATATGAAACTCTTTGAAGAACATTTGAATAATGACATTTAAAATTTTTAACATCTTTTAAAAGAGTAATAAAACAGATCCCAATATATTAAAAATACCCGCGCTTGAGAAATAACAAAATGAAATGGAAGAGGGGGTGAAGGACAAAATGGAAGCCCATTTTAAAAAGAGTTCAGTTGATCTTTTGGACCTTTTCTGGGCCTGCGCTCATACATAAATTGCACACCAATCCAGAGACGAAAAAGATTCACCTCCCTCTCTCTCTCTCTCTCTCTCTCTCTCTCTCTCTCTCTCTGTTTCTTTTTCTCTCTATCGATCGATTCAGAGACGGCCGGCGGGAACTGATTGGAACCGGTAAAAATCATTTCCATTTCTCTGTGAAGAATTGCCGTACATGTTTGATAATTTAGAGGTTGTTTTTCTTATTCCTTTTTGTGGGGAAAATAAATCGCGATAGCTTTAAATTCATTTCTTCTGTTTGGGTGGCGAGCAAGTCACTGAAATAGGAAAGGAAGTTGGATACTAAATTTAATTGATATGCCCTTGTTTTTTTTAGAATTAGCCGAATCTTGAAATTACATGGAACCTCCAGTTGCATCTGGAACTTCTTGTTGCTGCTTCTTATCTCATTGGCGTTTAGAGCTCCACTCAATTATGTTGTCGTTTTCCCATTTCCTTAATTTCTTTAGGGGATTAGAGTTTTAAGATTGAAATCCAGTTTTTAACTCTTCTTCTTTCCCCATTAGAAACTTACTCGGCCTTCCAATTTCAATTCTAGGGTTTGTTGCGGATCCACAGTTACGATTTGACTATTTTGTATTATGTTTTGTTTAATTTCTCGAAAACTGGACGAATATGATGGAATGGTTTGTAATATTCGATTCTGTCATTGATAATGCTTAATTAGCGGTTGAAATATTTTAGATTTCTCTCCGGTTGACTGACAATTAGTTATTAATATGTTGGATAATGTGATGTATTGTTGTAAAAGATCGGATTTTTATGAAAAATACTGAACAAAAAATCTGCATGACGAAGTTGTTGGTTTAATCCTTTATTGCAAATTTATGACTAAGAATGTTTATGGTCATATGCAGTACTTTTTGGAAGATAGTTAGTATTGGAAGCTGTGCAAAAGAATTGAAAAAAAGATGTTTATGGTTGACGAACCGCTATATCCAATTGCCGTGCTCATAGATGAGCTAAAAAATGATGATATTCAACTTCGATTGAACTCGATCCGTAGGCTATCGACAATTGCTCGTGCTCTTGGAGAGGAGCGAACACGAAAGGAATTAATCCCGTTTCTGAGTGAAAACAATGATGATGATGATGAGGTGCTTCTCGCAATGGCAGAAGAGTTGGGGGTGTTTATTCCATATGTTGGAGGAGTTGAGCATGCCCATGTTCTGCTCCCGCCTTTGGAGACCCTTTGCACTGTTGAGGAAACCTGTGTCAGGGACAAAGCTGTGGAGTCACTATGCAGGATTGGATCTCAAATGAGGGAGAGTGACTTGGTTGACTGGTTTATTCCTCTAGTTAAGGTTAGATAACCATTATGCCTCTATCCTTTCCTTAAAATTGGGTTCTTTTATTCTCCAGACTGTTTTTGAAGCTGAATGCATATTATATATTTGCTGTGTGCTTATATATTCTAAATAAAAGTCTGCATTTTTGTTAAGTTCTTTGGTTCACGAAGCTTGTTCAATTGGAAATGCTTTTGCATTTCCCTGCATCAATGTGTCCATCCATTCATATCAGTCAGTAAACTTCCTCCTCTCCCTCCCCTCTTTTGTAGTGAAAGTATTTTCAAGGTTTTTCAACATAGGCTGAATTCACTAGTGTCTCTGGGAAATTTAGAGAAAGTACAAGTGTTTTATTACAACTGAAACACCTTTTTGGTTTTGGGATTCGCCCATTGTGCAAAATTTTAGGTTCGTGAGATTCAATCAGGTCCACTCGTATATCTGTTTATACATTTCTTGATTCCACTGAGAAATATTTCTTTCTTTTTCATTTTTCTGTATTTATACCACCATCTTTTTATTAATTCTTCACTTCCTACCTTCTAGAGACTGGCAGCTGGTGAATGGTTTACAGCTAGAGTTTCTGCTTGTGGTTTGTTCCATATTGCATATCCAAGTGCCCCAGATATGTTAAAGACAGAGTTGCGGTCCATATACACCCAATTGTGTCAAGATGACATGCCAATGGTTCGGAGGTCTGCTGCTTCAAATCTGGGGAGATTTGCTGCAACAGTCGAACCTGCTCATTTGAAGACTGATATTATGTCAATATTTGATGAGCTTACACAAGATGGTATTTAAATATCTATTAAAGCTTGGTTTTCATCGTTTCTGCATGTTCTTGACATGGTACATATCATTTTCTGGTAATTGATGCCTGTTGGTAGGTTTTTGTCCAATTCACTTAATTCTTCCTCTTCAACTTGTGGTTGGGTGCTTGAACTAAGGCAATATTTGTTTCTTGGATAGCCAATTGGTAGCTATTTGGGTAAGGTGAGGTAGTGATGGCTGGGATACAAGAATGAACAGGGTTGTACATGTGACCATAATACACTTTATACATTCTGTTTTAAAATATTATAATTATAGTAATCAATCAATCTAAACATATATATCTAATCATAATCCATAGATATAAGTCACCTTATTCAATTTTAGTTATACATTTAATTGAAAATAAAGAGTTGATCATAATGTATCATAATTGATGAAGCTAATGATACAATAGTTTATGTTATTCCCAAAAGAAAAGGAGGTCATAATCCTATGTGTCGACCTTTTATAGTTCAGATCTACACATTTCCAATATCTTTTCTCTTAACCAGATGTTTCCCTCATGTCTCTCTGCAACTCTCTTGCTTTTCTTTTCTTTTCACCCAACTATTGACATGCATGACGGCGTCTTGCCATAATCAAGCTGCTGTATTTAGATGGCTGATTGGGTTTCAAGTTCATCAGCAGGAGATGAAGTGAAGACAGAACTAAGATTTGTCAAGTGAAGATGGCTCCTTTTGATTTAGGTTTCCGAAAGTTATAAGATTTTTATATCATTTTGATAAATATCTATCAATTGGAAAGTTAGAGCAAGTGGGAGAGGGTGAGAAAACTGTAATGTTTTGTTGTTTGGGTGTTTTCCTGCGAGTAGATGTTTGGTAATAACATCATGTATTAATCGATGATGTGGATTGTGGGGCCTTGTTTATTTCTTATCTTTTGATCTTTTATAATTTTCTTCTGTGTGGGCTTTATCTCAAAAAAAAAAAAAAAAATTCTTCTGGGTGGGCAGCACTCACTGGGTGCCTTCTAATGATATTCCCTTGTTATCTAATAAAAGATCCTTTATTAATTGGTTGTGTGGAAGGAGAGTGTATATTTTGTAACCAAAAATAATTAATAGGTGAACTAAAGTATGCTAGCATACAATATTACACTATGCAGGTTGGGTATTCACCCCTGGTGGGGTGAGTAGCACTACCAAGTCTGGGTTGGATAGCAATTTACTCTACCCACTCTATTTCTTAAACCAAACACCTAGTATGCTGGTGTAAGGGTCTTTTACCCACCTTATTGCTTGTTCCAAAAATTGGACATCAAAATTTAAAGAACAGTACTTTTCCAAAAATCATAATGTAGTGGTTAAAAACTAGTTCTCACAATTAGTTTTGTGCGCTTGAGTTTATTCTCCATGCTGAATATTAAATATTGTGAGATGTTAACTGGAACTGTGATTTTCTTTTGCGTGTGTAGTTTTGTACTAATATATTTATGCATATTGATGCATAAGCTGGTACTAATTTATTTCTTTAATTTCTTTTCCAATTCAGATCAAGATTCTGTTAGATTACTGGCTGTTGAGGGTTGTGCTGCTCTTGGAAAATTGTTGGAGCCCCAAGATTGTGTTGCACACATTCTTCCTGTTATTGTAAATTTTTCTCAGGTAAAAACATATGGAACTGTTATATGTTCGAACATTACTATAAGTGTGTCTTTTCTAATTTTCTGACTTATGTTCATTTCAAAGTTCCTTTTTTGTTCCATGCGATTAATCAAATATCAAATTTCTAATGCACGAGGGAAAAAAAGGTCTATTCATGATTGAGCATGTATAACCTTGTAAGAAACATATGCACCTACGCATATCTGTTACTGTTCTTTGATTTTTTTATTACTGTTCTTATGTACACTTTGTTGTCCTGTGACAGGACAAGTCTTGGCGTGTGCGATATATGGTTGCAAATCAATTGTATGAACTTTGTGAAGCTGTGGGACCGGAGCCTACCAGGTATATACATATTTTGAAGCCAAATGTAGTATGTTTATTCTATACAGTTACAATTAAAGTACTACTTCCCAAACCTTGGGTTTGCGGGATTTGCCATGTCAAGTATATGATAAGATGATTTCTTTACTTTTTCTGATTAGAATTCTGTAAGTTGACTTTCTTGTGTGATGCAAGCATGGTTTCTTCTTTTGATTTTTTTCATGTGTAATTTTGGTGACAAATCACATTTCCTAAAACTTGGACATGCAATTTAAAATATGGTATAAGATGATTTCTTTATTTAGTCAAAACTCTGCAATGATAGCTCTATATATTTGGCTTCCATGTGCTTTTTCGACTTGGTGATTTTGAAGAACGGACTTGGTCCCTGCATATGTGCGGTTACTTCGAGACAATGAGGCTGAAGTAAGAATAGCAGCAGCAGGGAAAGTGACTAAGTTTTGCAGGATTCTAAATCCTGAACTTGCTATCCAACACATTCTTCCCTGTGTGAAGGTATACATTTTAGGGGAATTCAAATGTATAATCTATATGTGATCTTTAACGCAGAGTACTAACTTTCTGGGAAAAATTTCCCTTCCAGTGCTACCTGTCTGAACTCTTTCTCACTGCCTTATGCAGGAATTATCATCAGATTCTTCCCAGCATGTCCGTTCTGCTTTGGCTTCAGTTATAATGGGGATGGCTCCAGTCTTAGGAAAGGTACAACCTTATTTAC